AGGATCTATTTTTGAACATGGCTTGACCTTTTCATTTTAATGATATGTTAGGATTAATAATATATCAGTTACTTTTCGTGGTTAATATATTATTATTAGATAATCATTTAAAAGAAATAGAAAAATGCCTAATCGAGTCTTGTACACAGGATGTTAATGTGTGTTGATACGATTTATTGAAAATATAAAATTTTTCTTACGTTTCGATCCTCGGTTTGGATCCTTATCAGAGAACTTCTAATATAGAATACACATTGTGCTACCTAGAACACTTTATATTAAAATGTACCACGAAAAGTAAATGATAGATTATTCAAGATGCAAATTCAAAATGAACATACCTACATATAAGTAAAACAGATTACAATAAAAATATTACAGTGTTCTAGAAAATAACTGCAACATACATAAAGTATATTTTCTATGTTGAATATGTACCACGAAAAGTAACTAATAGATCATTCAAGGTGCAAATTCAAAATGAACATACATACATATAAGTAAAACAGATTACAATTTGCATATTACAGTTTTCTAAAAAATTTCCGCAATATGTTATCAGCCAAAAGTTGCATTTTCCTTCTCACCGCTCCGCGTGCAGTCGAAATGTCCCATGACAGTCGAATGTTATTGTTCTGCGCACGGTGCGGTGAGGTGAGGGGAACAGCGAAAGCTAGACGAAGGCGATTCGAAAATCAGCTGAAAGTTGCATTTGCCCAACCCTCCCCTCCTCATCTCACCACGTGCAGTCCAAATGCTCCACGATGATCGAATGTCATTGTTCTACGCGCGGAGCGGTGAGGTGAGGGGGATAGCGAAAGCGAGGCGGAGGCGTATTAATTAACGTGTCGACTTCGGACAATATATTTTTATTTATTGTGATATCGTAGGTATATCTTCGGTGCATTATATTATTACATTATCATATTAATTAAACGATTCGTGCTGTTCAAATCACATTTCAAAGCGATAAAATACTAATTGGTTAGATTTCACTGTTTTAAATAATTTAAAGTCAAATTACTATAGCCTATAAAAAACTATTTAAAAAATGAAGGACTGAGTACCAGTTATGTAATTAACTCTTTAAATTTAATTCTGTAAAGGATTAAACGTTCTTTACCACTTTCATTTTTAAAAAATTAAGTTATTTAAAACAGATGTTTTAATAAAAATGATAATTTTTATTTTAAATAAGTTTTCAAAGCTTATTTAATGTTTTTTATACCAGTCAACAGTCGGGAGTATTTAAAATAATTTTATTATTTAAAATATATATTACAAATATGTATATATGTATTTAATATGTATTAAATATGTGGTGAGGGGTACAGCGGAAAGCGGAGGCGATTCGAAAATCGGCCGAAAGTTACGTACACTTTTTGTATATTCACTTTGTACTAGCCACTTTAATTAATAATCAGTTACTTTTCGTGGTAATATATTAACAATTTAACTCGTGATAGTACTGCGATAGTTTTAAATATATGTACGTCATATCGGTCAGCAGTCGGTAGTATTTAAAATAATAATTTTATTTAATATGTATTTAAATGATGACTGCACGGTTTATCGGTGAGCCTGGCGCGGGGGGGACGTGCGACTCGCATTCGCCCTTCCATTTGATGTGTTGTTTTGATAACAATCCCCAAGGCTGCTTTCACTAACCGTCTAATATTGACACGTCAGATTTATAACAACATATTAATTTTTTTTCGTTAACGCGATTGCATATTATAAAACAAAAAAGTCAAAATTATTAAATAAATGAAAAACGGTAATTTTTCCTGGTAATATATTATGCGCGGTGCGTTGATGTGAGAGGGACAGCGAAATATAGACGGAGGCGATTCGAAAATCAACCAAATGTTGCATTGTCCCCCTCACCGCTCTGCGGGTAGTCGAAATGTCCCATGACAGTCGAATACAATTTACGTATGTCCACTTTGTATTGGCAACTTTAATAATTAATAATCAGTTACTTTTCGTGGTAATATATTACAATTTAATAATTAAAACAAGGTGAAGGACAATGAGAGTCAATTCGTAAGTACATAAAAATTATAATGTGAATTTCTAAAGAAAAAGAATACAATAAAATACTTAGCCGCTTTAGACACAATTAAAAATTAGAATATCGTTCAATATATAATAACTAGAAGTAAATGATTAACCAAAAGTTGCACTGTCCCCCTCAACGCTCCGCGTGCAGTCAAAATGTCTCATGACAGTCGATTGGTTTAAATATCATACCAGTTAGCAGTCGGGAGTATTTAAAATAATTTTATTTAAAATATATACGTATTTAATGAGATGAGGGGTGCAGGGGAAAGCGGAGGCGATTCGAAAATCGGCCGAAAGTTACATACACTTTACGTATGTTCATTTTGTACTAGCAACTATAATTATTAATCAGTTACTTTTCGTGGTAATATATTAATACTATTTAACTCTTGATAGTTCTGCGACAGTTTTAAATATGCGTCATATCGGTCAGCAGTCAGTAGAACTTAAAACAATAACATATTTAAATGATAACAGCACGGTTTATTATCGGTGAGCCGGGTGAGGGGGTGACGTGCGACTCGTGTCCGCCCTTGCACATCAAAACAATCCCCAAGGCTGCTTTCACTAACCGTGTAATATTAACGCGTCAATTTTACATATTTATTCTTTATTCGTCAAACGCAATCGCATATATAAAATAAAATTATTAAATAAATGTAAAACAGTTGCTTTTCATAGTAATATATTATGTGCGGTGCGGTGTTGTGAGAGAGACAGCGAAAGCTAGACGTAGACGATTCGAGAATCAACCGAAGGATGCACTGTCCCCCTCACATCACCCCTCCGCGTGCAGTCCAAATGCCCAATGACGACCGAATGGCATTGATCCGTGCACGATGCAGTGTGGTAAGGGGGACAGCGAAAGCTAGAAGCAAATGATTCGAAAATCAACCGAAAGTTGCACTGCCCCCCCCCCCCCCCCTCCGCGTGCAGTCAAAATCATAACAGTTGAATGGTTTAAATATCATACCAGTCAGCATTCGGAAGTTTTTAAAATAATTTTATTTAAAACATGTATTTCAAATATATATATGGAGGGGCGAGTGGAGGAGGTCCGGTGGGTCGAAGATGGTAAAGTAGTGAGTGGAAGGTGAGAGAGGATGTCAAAAAGTTGTAATAACGAAAAAAGTGAAAATACGGCGAAAGAGAGGAGCGGCGGGGGTGGGTGGTGGTGTCAGGGGAAGGGGCGGAGGCAGGATGTCCGGTGGACCGAAGATGGTGGTGTTGCGAGTGAAAGGTGAGAGAGAATGTTAATAAGTTGTAAAACGAAAAAGAGTGAATTACAGCGGAAGAGAGGGGTGGCGGGGGTTGGTGGTGGTGGAGAGGGGGAGGCAAGTAGTGGAGGTCCGGTGGGCCGATGATGGTGAAGGTGCGAGTGAAAGGTGAGAGAGGAAGTCAAAAAGTTGTAATAACGAAAAAGAGTGAATTACAGCGGAAGATAGGGGCGGCGGGGGTTGGTGGTGGTGGAGGGGGGGAGGCAAGTGGTGGAGGTCCGGTGGGCCGATGATGGTGAAGGTGCGAGTGAAAGGTGAGAGAGGAAGTCAAAAAGTTGTAAAACGAAAAAGAGTGAATTACAGCGGAAGAGAGGGGTGGCGGGGGTTGTTGGTGGTGGAGGGGGGGAGGCAAGTGGTGGAGGTCCGGTGGGCCGATGATGGTGAAGGTGCGAGTGAAAGGTGAGAGAGGAAGTCAAAAAGTTGTAATAACGAAAAAGAGTGAATTACAGTGGAAGAGAGGGGTGGCGGGGGTTGTTGGTGGGGGAGGGGGGGAGGCAAGTGGTGGAGGTCCGGTGGGCCGATGATGGTGAAGGTGCGAGTGAAAGGTGAGAGAGGAAGTCAAAAAGTTGTAATAACGAAAAAGAGTGAATTACAGTGGAAGAGAGGGGTGGCGGGGGTTGGTGGTGGTGGAGAGGGGGAGGCAAGTAGTGGAGGTCCGGTGGGCCGATGATGGTGAAGGTGCGAGTGAAAGGTGAGAGAGGAAGTCAAAAAGTTGTAATAACGAAAAAGAGTGAATTACAGCGGAAGAGAGGGGTGGCGGGGGTTGGTGGTGGTGGAGGGGGGGAGGCAAGTGGTGGAGGTCCGGTGGGCCGATGATGGTGAAGGTGCGAGTGAAAGGTGAGAGAGGAAGTCAAAAAGTTGTAAAACGAAAAAGAGTGAATTACAGCGGAAGAGAGGGGTGGCGGGGGTTGGTGGTGGTGGAGGGGGGGAGGCAAGTGGTGGAGGTCCGGTGGGCCGATGATGGTGAAGGTGCGAGTGAAAGGTGAGAGAGGAAGTCAAAAAGTTGTAATAACGAAAAAGAGTGAATTACAGCGGAAGAGAGGGGTGGCGGGGGTTGGTGGTGGTGGAGGGGGGGAGGCAAGTGGTGGAGGTCCGGTGGGCCGATGATGGTGAAGGTGCGAGTGAAAGGTGAGAGAGGAAGTCAAAAAGTTGTAATAACGAAAAAGAGTGAATTACAGTGGAAGAGAGGGGTGGCGGGGGTTGTTGGTGGGGGGAGGGGGAGGAGCGAGTGGAGGAGGTCCGGTGGGCCAAAGATGGTGGAGGTGCGAGTGAAAGGTGAGAGAGGATGTTGAAAAGTTTAAAAATGCGGACAGAGAAGAAGAAGAAGAAGAAGAAGAAGAAGGAGAAGGAGACGTTTCTTAATTTTTCATTAAAATCACCACTTTTTGACCGCTTATATCTCCAGAACGGCTTGACCGATTTAAAATTTTTTTGGCTCAAATTACTCGTGGCGATGCCGCCTTTCAGGACATATGACGTTCGATTCAAAATTTTTTATATTTTAATAGTTATGCACCTCCCAAAAATGGACTTTGGTGGCTCGGGATAAGAGACTTGTAGCGTCTCAGAATTTTTGAACATGGCCGGAGACGCTACCGTGTCTCCTGATATCTCTATAAGGTGTGAGAACGTTAACAACTGCTTGTTCTCTATCTATAGATCACTGGGTCCCACGCTGGGCCGGCAGGATGCAGTGGAAAAATATCCGGAGGACGTACTCAGCCCACCAACTTCGAAACGCGGTTCCCTGCGGCCGAGCGGTACTACCCTCTCGCTGAATACGCTACAACGGGATATCAAAGAAGCATTCAACCGACGATGTGGCAGTCTAAGACGACGAGCACCGCCGCCGGAGCCGGTGCAATTACCAGTCGAGAGTAGCGACGTGAGTATCCTGGTGACAGAACCCAGTCCAGAGAACACGGCGCCGCCCTCGAGGCCGCCGTTAATCAGACAGCAGTCGGAAGCAACGGTGGTGCATGTACTAGTGCACAGAGAAAGCGAAGAATATCAGGACACACCAGACGAAAGCTGATCTTAACCGATATGCGGATAGCGATAGCAGCACAATTTAGTAATAATATATACGATAAATAATATATACGTAGACGTATATTATATACATACATGTAAACTTTTCACATAATGCAGACCTAATTTTAGATAGGGCGATGATCCGCATAGCTTTTTCGGGGGGAATCTTTGCGAGTCGAAGAGCGTGTTATGTTTTGTGCGTGCGTGCGTGCGTGCGTGCGTGATCGAAGTATTGAATGGAACATTGGTGTGATTTTCGGCTGATTAAGAAAAGAAATGAAGCCTTGATTATGGATCCTTGTTAATTTGATAATTAATCGAATAATCATCCTCTTAGGAACGCGATAACATTTTGTTGAGTCTATGATGTGATCTGGATTATAAATGTGATTGGAATTAATCACAGCATAGTTGAGAATGCTTCCGGATAGTAGTTAGGTATATCCATATTATTATTGGATTATAAGATATATTACGAAAAGCTAATTTCACGCTCCGATACAATCTCATTGTAATATTTAAGCAAGAAATAACAGATATAACATCTTATTTCTGATAAAAATGAAATGTTTATTATTTTAAAATTATGCCTGAAAAAAATAATTGTAATGATTTGTTGCACAATTTTTTGTTTTATTAAGAAAGAAGTAAAGTTAAGAGCCATTGTTAAAAAATATAAAGAAAGGGACAAAGACAAGGTTAAAACAATTTTTTGATTGCAAATACAGAATATGTCGTTAGAAAAATTTAGATCGTTATCATATGTTAAAGTAATTTACTTTTGACAAAAATGCATGCACCATTAATATTAGGATATCAATAACGACGAAGAAATTACTTAAGGATAAATTACCAGCGTAGCGAAAATACTAGATGTAGCCGTTTTTGAAACAGGAACATAATTTGTTAGAATACATCAGTTTTCGAAGTAAATCGAAGTGGAAATGTGATTTTGGTTTTTCATCTTTGAAATTTAATAATTTATGCAGTGTAAAATTTCTCAATTAAAATGGGAACCATCCGAATCTATCATTGTCAATGAGACAGTAATTCTTTTATTCTGTACATAATAATATAAGTAACTCTCCCTCTCCCTCCCCCCTCCCCCCCCCCCCCATTCAAGAACCATAATCTAATAATTCCAAGAATCTCAATTAATTACTGTAAACGTCAAAGGTTGTTCCCTTTTTCAGATTTCTTTACAATAATTTTGACGGAGCAAGTTGTTAGTCTATTAATCTCATTAACCTGAAAAATTATTACTCGTATTCATCGTCAGGTCGTGAAGCTTCCTTTTTATCTTTAGATGCGTTACGAATTATTTTATTGGTTACGAATTATTTCTATTGAACATCTAACGATGAATTTAGGAAAGGCCTTAAATAGAAGACCTGACGATGGATACTCATAGATCTCACAAATCTGTTGTTTGTGGCTGAACTCTTGTACTAATGTATTATAACATCTTCAAACTATGGTGTAAAGGATATAAAGTGAAATATTCTGATGGATGCAAAGTCGTTCAAAAGTAGTAGGAAGCAGTAAGCTAATTAGATTTTCTCCAAAGTGCAAAATTCAATATGGCCTAGACTAAATATATACAATGTACACTAAATTTAAAATACGCGCCTCTCCGAATGAAGAAAAACTGATTGGTTGAATTTCAAGTCATGCTCTTAAATATGCGCAAAATTTCATCTTATATTCTTTACACCATGCTTAAAACAAAGTTTAAGTTTGACGAAAGCGATATAGAAAGTTTTAGCAATTGAACACGGCAAAAAACAGATATATTTATTATTAATATCGTTTCAGATAGCACAAAATAAAACAAAAGTTTTTTAGGTTGTCTTTTCAACTATGCAAAATCATACCTTTAAGATATCTTTTAATGGAAAAGACAACTTAAAAAAACATTTTTTTATCAACTTTTTTTCGTTGCATTTTTGGTATAATAAAAATTGACTAATTGTTTTTTTATTATCTTTCTTTTTATCTTTTTTATTATCTTTATTTTATTTTCTTTGTTATCTATTAATACGCTTACCCACGAGACGCACCATCGTCAAATGAATACAGCACACAGAGTTTTATTTCTCATAAATAAAAAATACATATATACAAAATAGAATAGAAAGCATATCATTATGAAATAATCAATATTCTAAAATAAAATTAATATCAATATTCTAAAATAAAATTAATATCAAGGGACAAGGACAAATGAGCCAATAAATTCGTTAAAATATTTTTAAATTAATCTAATACATTGCGAAGAATATCACGTAATTATGACTTTTCGTCTCACCTTCAACTAGTGGACTCATCGGTAAGGCATTATAGTGGAAGCCTACCTAAACGCTTGGGAGAGTTATTCAATCGAGATTCTATATGAAGAGATATACGCGTATCAAAGCACTTGCGAGAATTTGCGAATATCCATAGACCTCTGATGGCTGGTCGACGTAGTAATATTTATCCAAAGTAATATATGTAATTCACAATTTGGTTAATTGAGACGTTATTTCAGATTATGAGAGTTGCGTTTCAAGACTGACGATTGTTCGGCGCGCAATTTGGGGAGGGGGACTACATATATTACTTTGGATAAATATTGCGAAAATAATCTAAGGTAGGCTTCCACTACAATGCTTTACTGATGAGTCCAGTAGTGGAAGCTGGGACGAAACGCCATAATTACGTGATATTCTTTGCGATATATTAGATTATTTAAAAATATTTTAACGAATTTATTGGTTCATTTGCCCTTGTCTCTTTATATTTTTAAAAAACTTATTGAGCCTTATTACAAACACACAATCTAAAATAAAATGTTATTTTTTTTTAAAGCGAGTACTCAAAATAGAAGTCTATGGCAAAAACCGGCGGCACACAATGCTTTTTTTCTGTGTTTCGATATTAGCAACGCTAATGCAACTAATGGTAGCGTATGTAAATATAGCTAGCAATCCAGAAGGTAAAAAAGCATCATATGCCTACTTAATTTTACATGTGTATATTTTAATATTAGGTATGTTTAACAGACTCAACAATTAAATGAGCGTTCGCTGCTAGACATCTTTTATATAGCTATAAAGATTGGTAAAAAATTCATGTATGATGTTATGAAACTGGAAATAACATTTTGGAAATGTGTGTTATTTTAGCATTGATATTTACATTATTTCTTTCACTTCGAGCACTGAGAGTGAGCTGTCATTATCAATAATAAATCGACTCTTTAGCTATTGCGCTTTGGTCAATGAGATATATTATCATATTATTATATTAAATCAGTAAGAAAAATTGATTTGCAATATTAGGTGCCAGTGTATTTAAAAATAACGAACAATTTATTGCATTATCAATTTTGCTACGTAAAGAAATTCACATTGACGCAATTAACAAATTATTATATAAATTCTAAGAACAATTTAAAGCTTTTTAAAAACATGTTATAATATGCATTTTTCATACACCTTAATTGTACATTTCCGATGTCTTTTGATCGTATATAATTAGTATTGAATGTAAGACACACAATTACAATATTAGTAATTTTACTGAGCAGAAAATATACTGCATTAATCATGAGAAATGAAAAGTATTATTATAAGTATATTAAGCTGAACAACTCGTGATTAACGTTTGACAAGTGCATTTGAATTTACTCTAATACATATTCGCTTATTAATCTTTTTTTAATGAACTTGAACCATCAATACAATATAAACTTTTTTCTTAAATATATGTATAATATAATACATATATAAGCGACTATTTCTAGTAAGTTACGCTACCCTGGTAAAAGCATGTTCTGGATTTTATAATTATTATCATTTCCATCTTCGATGGATTAAAAATTTATTAATTTAGCTATTAGTATATATTATATACAATGTTATATATATATTATACATATGTAGCTATTTAATCTCAGAGTTAGGTATCTATACGTAAACACGCAGACAGAATATAAAAAATTGTTACTTTTTACATAACCCAATTAAAATAACAAAGAATTGTCGTTCTTTATCATTTATTTATTCAAATTACTTGTTGGAAATTAATTTGAGAATTCTGTATATAAATCGTGCACATACATACCCAACATTGAACACTTCAAATTGAGAATTTTGGAAATAATGAAATTTTTCGGATATGCTAAAATATTAAATCGAAATTTTTATAGGTAATTGGAATATTTAATAATAATACTTTAGATTATAATCATCAGAAACAACTGTAAAATTTCCAATTACCCAGTAAGTCGCAAAATTGATTGCAATGACTTGCTTATTAATTGGAAATAGTGTTTTAGTGCTATGCTATTGTATATCATTAAATTCTCAGACATTGCCGGATAGCTTTTAATACTGATTTAACATGGCTTCAATAATCGAGAGAGCGATATTTGCACTTGCGTGCACATAAAGACGGTTCTCGATTAGCGTCTCCAACGGAGAACCTTTTTACTATAACTCTACATTTATATACATCGTAATCCTTGTCTTTTATGTCGTAATTAAGTGTGATCGGACCAAATCTAGGCATCTTCGACTCTGTTGTATGGTTTTCTCTTTATAGAAGAAAAAAGAGGAAAACTTATTGTTAGATCATTAGCATGTAGATAATATAGATCGCCCGGAGTTTGCTACAAAGAACAAATTTTATCGATATACAAAAAGAGTACTGCCTCAAATCTTAGAATAAATTAATCGCATCACTAACGGCGTGCAAAATAAAAAAAAAAAGAAAGATAGACGAATGAAACTAATAGATGAAACTAATGTAGCTTTCTTCGATGATTATTATTGTAACCGAAGTATTCTATTTTGTTTCTTTGTCCATGATAATAACAACAGGATTAATTGATTATTAACGAAAAGGAATATATTAGCGTTATAACTTCTAAATTCCGAATTAATCTTTATCTAAAAACATGTTCTGATTTGTAAACTATTGAAGACAAAAAACTTTTGTCACGAATTAATCTTTTAGAACAGATTTTATTGGAATTATGTTAAAAAATATTTTTTAATTCAATTTATACGCACTTTAATAAGTAATTCATACTAACTGTAGGTATATATTCTCTAAATCTGAATCAGTGGATAGTCACCCAGTGGCATACACTTAGCATTGGATAATCAGTAAAGTTCAACTAAAAAAGAAAAAGCAAAAGTTTAAGCGTTATACACTAAAATACTATATGTTAATTTC